TGCCACCTCGAAACGTGTTCATCCCTAGGAGATGAGGATGGAAGAGTCTCCCGCTGCCTGCCAGAGGAGCTCCGCTTTCAGAGAGCTGCTTGTGTTTACAGGGGTCTTCAGTGTACCCCAGATCTCTCACGCCTTCTTCATGGGAGGAAGGCACCGGTCGTAGATACAGAAAAGGCACTGAAAATGTGGGCAGGGACCCACCATCTCCAGTCGTCGTATCCCCCTCCTCCTCTCAGATCTCGTTATTTAAGAAACAGAAATTCCTCCAGACCCTGGAGACGCTGACTCCCCGAGGTACTGCGGTTCCCTGGTCCTGTGAACCCGTATCGTTTAGCGATGGTACTAGCTTTTGCACAGTAAATGCTGTAGTATATGAGACTGTAAATATTAGTATTTAGAATCCATTGGGGCTTTTTTTGATGCATGTCTGAATACCAATGGGTTTATAGGGGGGGAAAAAAAAAAAGTCCAAACCAGTATGTATAAAATTCACACCAGTGACCGTGTTGTTCCAAGTGCTGGAAGAAAGGAGGCTCGGGGCAGCCGCATGGGCGCTGCCTGTGGAGCAGGTGCAGAAACTGGGCGAAGGAGCCAAGGGGTCTGTTTCTGGCAATGGGAACTGGGAAGGAGCCCTGAGCCTGGCCGAGTAGCCCCGTTCGCTCCACCCCGCTCCTCTCTCCTCGCACTGTTGCCAAATGGTTTTTTTGGGGGGGTCTCCATCTGGCTGACCCTTGGTGCTGTGCTTTGTGATCACGCTTTGGCAGGAGCCCCAGCAGGTCCCCGTCCCCAGTCCCTCCATGCCGGAGCCAGGAGGGCAGGGGCAGCCCGGCATGGAAGAGCAAGGGAGGGGTCTCATTTCCCACACACCCAGCGTTAAGCCCAGTCTGTTTGGTGTGCCTTATTCAGCCCCTCTGTCCCCTCTCTGTGTCCCACCCGGAGTGTTCTCCCCCGTGCAGCCCCAGCCGGGCCATTTCACATCCCTCCTCTCTGTCCTCCCCCGATGGTTTACAGTGTGGATCGTGGGTTTGAGCGTACGCTGTAGGTTTTAGCAGCCTTGCGAGGCCTTTTTCTGCACCATGTCGTGTGGTCACAGGTTTTACAGAGTTCTGTCCGACAAAATCCTGCGGTTTTAGAGCAGCTCACAAGGAATACAGTCGAGGTGTTTCGCAGAGCATCCTTATTTCTCAGTAGCACCCCTGTGTTTGCTAAAGCCTCTCTGTTTATTCTGGGTGAATCACAGTTGCGAGCACTTCCTTCTGCAAACAGATTGCCAAGGCTTAGCTGGCTGCCTGCACGCGGCAGCGGGAGGGAGCGACAGCAGCATCGTCCCGTTCATGGGATTGTACCCAGCTCGATTATTTTCCTGAAGATTTGGGCACAATATTTGCACAGTGGCCAAACGCTGAAGTGCAGAGAGACCCCCCTGCACGAGGGCAGCTTCTCGGGGAGGAGGGCAAGGGGTCCGACACCGGTTCATGCAACCCCAGAGTGGGCAGAGCGGGGATCTTCCTGCACGGAAACACGCCTCTGAGCCAGAATACTTCAAAAATGGTTTATTTTTATGGCACTAAGGACATTGGAGCCGTGTGTCTTGTCTGGCTGGGGCTTTGCAATCCCCAAAGGCTTCCCAGCCTTCCACGCAGAAAGTGATGCTTGGCTTTTCCTTTGTAAGTAAGATTTTTTTTGAAAAAAACGACATGATGAGACTGTGAAAAGGCAAATACACCCCGTGTCTGGCACAGGCTTCCCCCCGGCAGGCTCCGCACACCTCCCTCGGACGGTGCGCTGTGGGTGCTGCGGCACAGGCTGTTCCAAGGAGTGTCGTGTGTGGTGGTGGCACTAAACCCACAGCCCGTCGCTCCGCTGTCCCCGTGCCGGGGCCGGGGGGTGCAGTGTCTGTGGCTGGGGCTCGATGACATGGAGGGACAGGGTGGGTGCACCTTCTCTTCAGCCCTGCCGGGCTTGCCAGCGAGTGGACGCTGTTTCCAAGTTCTCCCCTGCGCTTGAAACCATGAGCCCTCTTGGCACCAGGGTGGGGGTCTTGCTCCCCGACCTCCGCCAGCCCCCCAAAAGCCGGAGGCTCAGCCCGCGGCAGTGGGATGGGAGGGCTCTGTGGCCACAGCGCCTGGTCTGGCGCGGTGGGGCTGAGCCCCCGGTTTTCCTCCCCCGCTTCTCCCCCTCGCCCTGCGGCCATCCCCAGCCGGGTGGGATGTTCTGACGGCGGCTCCTGGCTCATGTCCCGACCTTGGGCCGGGCTCGCAGGGCTGGAGGGACCCTAAAGAAGGGTCTCCTCACCCAGAGCTGCTCCAGGTTTGCTGACCAGAGACCCCCTCTCTCCAGGAGCAGCACCCCTGG